AATCTATGCATCCATTGTGGACCTTCTAAGAACGCGTTTCTCACAATTGTTGGATAATCCATGCTTGGTACCTTGGGAATTATTTTCAAACACATACAATTTCAATCTCAATTCAAATTCAAGTGACTGTCGTTCATACCTTATTTCGTTTGCATAATTCGTAATGCACTTTTAATATTAATTGAATACAATATAGACCAATAGAACCAATGATAACGGTTGAAATCGACCCCAATAAATAACCTGCATGTGAAAATGCTTTTGGCATTGCTAAAATTCCCGTTCCGAATGAACTTTTCAGCAAATGAATGATTGTGTCTGTATTTCTGAAGAAATCAAACGAATTGAATCAAATATTCAACGAAATCAACGAAATAATAATTTTTATTTTACTCACGATATAGGATGATGGACATCTCGGTTCAAATATGGATCGTAGTTTTCATCTTTATGTGATTTATCCAAAACCTCAATCTTCAACGAATCATTTCTGATGTTATTGTTCAGATAGTCAGTGCTGCAAAAAATAAATTAAAAATTTACTTAATTTTGCTCGAAAAAAAAAACAACCCGAAAAAATGTGTTACTTACCGTTTCCCATTGTCATCCAGGAAGGCAATGTTGCCATGCCCATTCAAAGTCATTTTTTCGAACTGGGTGGTCGTGTGTTTCAAATGGAAATGTCTCAAACTTGTCTGAAAATTTATATAAATGATTTTTTTATTGTCAAATCCATCCATCAATGCATCCCATGGGAGCTTATCGTTATCGTATTTTGTATTAGACGATATAGTCTAAAATCAAACTTTATCGCAATTATACAGACTATTTCATAATAACAATTTAATTGTGAAATAAATCGATAGGTGTTATCAATTCAATAGAACGTAAATCTGTTAGATTCAATAGCTTGTAATACAAGCCATGTATAAAATAAGCCATCGTATATCTTACCGTTGTGCAAATTTCAACAATGTTTATCCTGTTTTGCAGCGAATTGTCGAATGTGTTGAGCAATAAATGGAGAAAAAAGAGAAGTCGCGAAAAAATTTCCCCAAAAAATTCCGCAAAACTGACAAACCATTAATTTTGCCGTTTGTATTTATACACGGAATTAATAAGTTTTATAGGCTTGTTTTTGTCCGTTTGCTTCTCAAACTGGCGCAAGATTAGAAAATGACGTTGTAATAACACCAGCTGTGAATAAAAAAAAACAGACTCAGTTTGATCTTATTATAAAGAATTTCAAGTGCATAACAACAACTTTTTTTTTTATTATTGGCCATGGCAATGACAACAAAGCACAGAAATCAAGCAATAAGAGAACTCATCAATCAATTTACTCCTATCATTTTTATTTTGTTGTAACAATATATTATATATTGTTGTTACTCAACGATTTACAATCAAAATTATCAATTAAAACGGTCGTTAAAAGCGAGGTGTGCGTAAATATTGTAATATTTGATTTCTTAGCTCGTCCAAATCTACTTCATGGTTTTATCATGCTTTGATGACGTTCGTAAATTACTGTTTTTTTTTTTTTGTTATAAAATATGAATTCTTGAGAGAATTGCATACAAGGTGAATGTGATATCGCAAACTCATTCGTGGAAATATTTTAACCACATTTTTTGTTCGTCTTCTGCTTTCAAATTGGTATTTTGCGATTATGGGAACACTTGCATCTGAGTCAAAAACATGTTTTTAAATGGAATTTTTTTTTCTCTCTCACTTTCAATCGCAAGCCTAACTAATTATATCGCATCATTTGATCTTTAACTGGTTTGCCAATATTATTTATTAACTTAAGGAGAATACACATATATTATCGATATTATTATTATTATTATTGCAAATTACTTTGCAAAGAAGAATCGAATACAAATTGGAAATAATATATCGATAATATTTCACAAATCGTTTCGACACCCTGTTTATCGTTTGAAATGCCAATAAACCAAGAAACCAATACACATTCAACTCAATGACATTCGCTCGTTTGTTTGTTATCTGAATAAGTACCAGAATTTATAATTGCCACTCAACGCCAACGACGGATCATGGATCGTCATTACATATACGCGAACTCAATTGTGAAATATCTTCTCTTGTTATTGGTGCCAACAATTCATCTCTCGCATAAAATAAATAAAAGAAAAACGCACTAAATGAATGCTTCTTAGAATTTCGATTATATTTAGCCTTTTTTTACATTTTGTTTTCTTCTTCTCGTGAATTATCATAAATCAATTTTATTCCCCTTTGCGATGATTTTTTTTATTATTTGTTTGTTTATCTTCAAACGTATTTGCACACTCAAACACACTCTCTCTCTCTCTCTCTCTCTCTCTCTCTTTCTCTCTCTAATCGCAGGTGCTTAGTTATTTTTCTATTCGAATAGTACTGCACCACTGAACTGATTACGACAATTGATTCGAAAATACTGCTTATTTAAGCAGTACCACGATATTATTGTAAACGAAATTTCCGATGGGAAAATCGCAAAAAAGATGCGAAACACTTGTATATATACTATCAACGGAACCAATTGATTGAAGCTGATTGAACTCGTTTATTGAGTAATAAAAGTGATTGAAATCAAATCTAAATAAACAATGTTTTCTTTTGCCGCTTACGATTTATTCTCCATTGGCTCAAGGTTTGACAAAAATGCACACTCGCCGTTGGTCGCAAGTGCATTAAAGAAAACCGATGGCAACTCATATTCACACACACAAAAACTGAAATAATTCAAAAGCAACTGGCAATCAAACATGATACATGATCTTGACTTAATTGTCTCTGTTTCCTTATGATGTGAAATACGTCTTGTTTCCTGTTCTATATATGCATAGCATACATACATAATCAATTTTTGTTGTTTCTAGGAAATTCAACATAAATTGAAAGCGCATTTTCACAACCGAAAATAAACAATTTTTTTGTATTCAGTAATGCTTTTAATTTTCGCACAGTCATATCCAATGTGTTCAATTATTTCCTGAAGAGAAATGTCGTGTCAATTTTCTACGCGATATCTTCATAAGTCTCGTGTAAATCGAAAAACAATTTCATTAGACATGTTTACGATTCGATTGAAGCAAAGTTAGAAATGCTTTGAGGCTGCTACCAAAAAAAGTGTGCATGTACGTATAAAGTGTTCGATATATATAAACTGTCGCTCTTTTTTAAAGATTGTTTAAAAACAAATCAAGTGCCATTTCTTAATTTTTCGAAATAACCATGAAAAATGACGCACGACAAAAGAAAAACGTGTACGGACGATATTATTGTATATTGGATTTAATCACTTTTTTGTCGTTTTTAAACGTTTTTTTTTTTAAATAAGTAATTGATCACCGTATAAGGGAATTTGTGTTAGTCTCTTTAACACAATCATATCCCTGTCTTTGAACTGACCACATGTCAAATAAATGTACAATTTAAACTTTGATGTGCACGTGAGATATGACTTCAAGCTTTGTTTTGTCAACAGCGTCCATTGAATAGGCATGAAGCCAAAATATATATTCATATATATCTGTGAATCGTTGATGGTAATTAAAATGTGCACAACAACAACACACCTTGAAAAACTCTTGTGAGCAAAATGCACACTCGCACTAAATAATGAGTTTTCTTTGTTGTTGACAGTTTAAAAAAAAAAGTGATTTGTTTTAATCTTAATTTTTATTCGTAAACTTAAATGCTCTCTTACTTTTGCTCTTCGATAAAATAATTCTCGTGAAAATGAACTTTGCGGTTAAATAATCAGAGAACAATGCGAAAATCCAATGAGTTTCACGTAAGAATAGTGTATAAACTGAAACTGTATTTACACGGATGCATGATCAACCGTCTTCTATATACTTTGTATATTTTGAACAGCCGATTTGAATTTGACTTGAGTGAGTGTCAGAGTGATGTGTGTAACGTTCTTTTTTTCTACGTTGTATTGCAAGAAACGTGTGTGCAGATACGATTGTGGGTGGGTGTATGCGTGCAAATCGGTTTTTGTCGTCGTCGACGACGTCGTTGTTTTTATTTCATTCAACAAGTGATATTAGTTTGTCTTCTATGGCCCGATTATTTAGGTATTTAATGATTTTTTTATGTAAAATTGTGTGACGTGCAAACGATATCAAAAAGATTTAATAGAAACTTGTTTCGCATTCGCCAATTGATTGGGTAAGAGTGCGCATCTGCCCATTTTCATTCAACATTTTTGTTTGTTTGATTATCTTTTCTGTCGTTTTCGTCAATTACCTATACATTTTTCCATTGACAAGATTGATACATGCAAATAATGTGTGAATCTATTCAGAATTATCTACGCGCTGAAAATAATATCACACAATCGTTTAACGACCAATCACATATACACACACCTATTTCACGTTACATCGCCAATTATCTAAAACAAGATTGCAAAGAAAAAATGTTGTCAATTGGTTTATAAGTCAATGTTTCTGGTATAAATTGAAGACAAATAAAGATAAATCCATTCATGTTTTAATCAAAGACAGGTAACTTGTAACAGTCAAGCAAATAAAGAGAAATAAATCAATTAAACAATTAAAAAAAACGGTTGTCATTCAAACGACGTTGAATAATGAAGAAGTAAACATAAAATGTCATATATTATTTAAAATTATCATTAATTTCTTTTTCACAAATAAATGTTTTATCTTTATTAATGATTATCTTTTAACATGCCAAATGATGATATTTATTTATGAGTCTAAACTCTTTTGTTTTTCCTAACAATGAGCTTACTTAAGTACATTTATGTGTATTTATTCATATTTGTTTGGTAACGATCGCATTTATACTTCTTTATTTATTTGGTCGACAATCGCGGCTATACTCGTTGATGTGCCAATGATGAGAGCAAATATGCCCAGCATGGTGATTATTATATTTTTAACAATCATTGTCGTTCTCGCCGCACCGGTTGTACCTTTCAGAAAAACAAGGGTATCAATTAGGGCAGGAAAAGCTAATCCAAGGGTGGATAAGCAAAAAGCTCCAAATAATGAAATGTATAAGCCCAAGTCTGGAATAGCTTCAGCCAAGAGAACTGTTAAAAATCGAGACGATCCACATTATATTTCGTTGAAGATTGTGAACATTTTCAATATTCTTACATGTGATTAAAACAATTACAGTTCGCACAACATATTCCCACAGTAATTTATAGCGTTCATTTGAGATTTTGTCGACGATATAACGATTCCATGCAATATCGATTGCTACATAGCATGCAACACCATGTGTTATGAAGATTCCAAAGGCAAGCATTCCTTTTACAGCATGCGACAATCTAAAAATCATAAATGTTTCAACCGTTTTTTTGGTACTGATATACGCATGTTTTGATTCAACTCACATTTTATCCATTTCACTATTTTGGGCTTCTAGATTAAGAGTGATTGTCTCTTGAATGGCAGCACCATATCTCAGATAACCGAATAAACCCATTCCAATATAGAGAACAACCTGTGAAAAATGCAATTTTTTCATTATTTCTTAATCGATTTATGGATTATCAAAGCTGTTATAGGCACCGCGGAGGTGCGGGCACTTTTCTTTTAAGTAGACAATATATTTAGCTGCCATCATCTGGATATTTCAGCTCATCTGGATGCCGTCAGCAGATGATGCGAAGTGAAAACAATAGAAGTGATTGTTATAGTAATACCAGTATATAACAAGCTTATATACCTATAACAATCACTTCTATTGTTTTCACTTCGTATCATCTGCTGACGATATCCAGATGAGCTGTAATATCCAGATGACGACAGCTAAATATATTGTCTGCTTTTAAGTGTCGATCTTTCTTTTATTCAGGTGCGGCACTTAAAAAGGTATTTGGATTAAGACACTTCTGCGGTATCAATAACAGCTCTGGAAATAACATTCAAATGACATACAATGATTGCAAACGCCCGACTCAAAACGCCGGTAGGACCAACATACGATCGTGGAGTTTTCATCTCATTTTCCAATGGCATAATCTATTTCAAAGTGAATTTTCATTGTAATTAAAGTTTTGGGACAAACAGTGACTAAACGCACATAAGAAATAAACCTGACAAATTATTTTAGGATTCCTATTAAAATATTAATTTGTAAGGTTTCTTTATTGAGAACATTTTATCAGAAAACCTTTAAATACTAAAACATGTTTTGTTTCAATACAGTGAAGTTGGATTTGACATTTTGGGCGCGCCAATTTATTAGGATTCCTGTTAAAATATTGCGATTTTATAAGGAAACTTTACAAATTCATTTGCGGTGTCCAAACCGGTGTGTATGGGCTTGTCAGATTTTGTTCCTCTCTGAGATTTTTCTTTGTCCAATGCCATAATTTGATATATTTGTTGATTTTCATTTCGAAAACTCACTTTTTTGTACACTTTGAGAAAAAATGTTGTACATGAACAGTGTTTCGCTGAAAGCAGTGATGGGCACATTAGCTGGCTAATTTGCCACAAATGTAAACACTGGCTAACGAATGTGTAAACCAGCACTAATACATACATATGAACCGCTTAGAATAAAAGTAGATAATGGTAGAAAGTTGAAAAAAATCTCAATCATAAAGTGTTATGAAAATAATACTCAATCAAGGAAAAAAGTGAAAATAAAAGTCGATCAAGAAAAAAATTGAAAATAAAAGTCAAACACAATTTATGATCGATTTTTATTTTCACTTTTTTTCTTGATTGAGTATTATTATAACTCAATTTATGATTGAGATTTTTTTTCACCCTTTTCTTGATTGATTAGTGATTTTTCTAGTTGACCATTTAGTGGTGTTCGAGAATTGCTCTGTACCGAGTCTCCGAGAGTT